CATTGCTGACTCCGACATCCACAATGGGCCTAAAATTACACACTCAAGTAATGTCGCGGACAGCTGATGAAATATCTTGAGTATAAACCATGTCGGCGGGTTGGTCGATTGCGTTTAGGCCGATGTCAGACTTTGCGGATTGAGAGATTCGCCAGCGTGTGCGGTCGCGTTGCGGTCGGCCGCTCGATTTCTGGTACCGCAGTGCGATCGCGTACACTAGCGAATTTGCAAGGTCTGACATCGTCTTAACAAGGGAGGTCGTTCAGGGTGTGCCAAGCTTTTTCAAAATGGTTTCTTGCATGACATTGGGGCACATATGGGGACCACAGAAGCATGGTTCATTTTTCCTGAACGGCCCTCTGAATACCAGAAAAGGGGTCCCTAGTTCGATTCCTCGTGGTGACAAATTTTTGCATTTCGAGTTGACGTTTCCAAATTCGCGCAAAATGGAGTTAGCATGAATAATTAGTACCAAATTCATGATTAGGAACGTCAGTAACCCTTACAAATAGACTTTGATTGAAAAACTGGTGAAAAAGGTGTGACTAGGGACCCCCTTTTCTGGTATTCAGAGGGCCGTTCAGGAAAAATTAACCATGGTTCTGTGGTTCCCGCATGTGCCTCTATATCATGCAAAAGACCGTTTTGAAAAAGCTTGGCACACCCTGAAAGACCTTCCTGGTAAGCAGTATCTCAGTCACTACACCCTTTGCCATACCTCGCCACTGAGCGAATGAATAGTTCACGCAATCTGAGCCTTGCTTTGAAGAATTTTTGCTGGCTTGCTGCGGCTTTTTAAATTATGCTAGTCTGTACGTCAGTTCATAAGTAACAGTAATTTTTGCCAGGGCTTTCTCGTATTGGTTCTTTTCTGGCAGTAAACGAATAAATTACGTGTAAGATTTATAACATATTGCAAAGGACTGAGGCGAAATAATCGTGTCGCCGTTGCAGAGGTGAGTCAGTACTGGTAGAACTCAAACGTCTGCCTGATTTCTTATTTGGTTCATACGTAATTTTTGACTATCCAACTTCAAGTTGAGGTCCGGGCTAGTCTATCCGACTGAAGTAGTCGCTCCCAGGATAGAGCCCACACAGTTAGAATTCGCACCCCTTCACGCTCACTGAGGAACGCTAGGCCGCTAAGGCTTTTGATGGAATCCCTCACAAACTATCACGCGTTCACCACCGTTCAATATCTACTTCATGTCGTGTTGTTGACCGCCTCTCTCTGTCAGCTTGAAGTTCTTTCACCCTCTCTATGGCTCACATTATTTCTCATCTCCTGCCTTTCTTTCAACCTCTCTATGACCCACATTATTCCTCATCTTCTTTCTATCTCAAGCAGGGTCGGTCCTATCGTTGTTACTTTTCGAAAAATTTTTACGACCCCCCTCCCCCAACGTGGATTTGATACGACCCCCTTTTCCCTACCTCCACCATCTCCATCTTCCATCAAAACCCCGCCCACTTTTTCCTCCAAAAATGCCGTCGAGCGGGGGGGGGTATATAGTCACTCTGAAACGGTAAATATCTCCGAAAATTTCCTTCTATTTCCACCATTTCAACCCATTTTTTACCTATACTCCCACTACTTCCTTTTCTAGGGGGGGGGGGGGGTATATACGCCCGCTGAAACGGCAAATTTTTATCCTGCGCGCCCTCCACTCGCCCAGCCTACTACCCACGAAATCTTAGTTTCACCTCAATCCCACACGTGATTTCGAGCGACTAAAGTGGGTACGACCCCCCCTCCTACAAACTCAACCAGGTACGACCCCCCCGTTGTTACTCGTAACAACGTAGGGTTGACCCTGCTCGTAAACAGGCAGCGATGCGATAAAGAGGAAGCGCGTCGGCAAAGTATTTGGGCCATATGAAGCAGTTACTTGGTTGCCAATGGAACGAGGTGCGGCCTTTTCAACGACGGAAGGTTCGTGATTGGCATGGTGCTACCAAACGCCTTGCGGTGAACTCGTTCATACGTCCGCCTTCTGAGCTGTTACCTGTTCATGAGTGGAAGCCAACGGCCGAAAAGAGGTCCCGTTTTGCGTTTTCTTGACGGATTTCCTGCTTTTTTCGCCTACTGGCGTACCACTGAGCACCACCTCGTCTCTCTGGACCCTTCCTAACAATTTCGTACGATGCATTTCAAAATTTCCCGCGCATAGAGCACGAGGGCTCGCGTGTGGGTTTTTGACAGTTTTTTCCTTTTATCTCCACCGTCAGTCCACTTCGCATTCCCTACATTCATACTTGAGGATTCACACCTCACTGAAACGTATCCTTTCCTTAAATAATGTCTATCTTGAGGCGGATCAGGAAGTTAATACACCGGGAAAACCCGAAGGCAAGAATGCGCTGACTACTTCGCAGTTATTCTACGAACCTAAATTTTGATACGTGCCCGTGTTAATGGTTTCTATCTCCCCTTACCACCCAATACGCAAGTCAAGATGTTGGATTTTGTTTCATAAATAGCGCTGTTCTCATTTGGTAAGTGCATTTTTAATCCAAACAGCTGCTTCGTCTCTTTCCTAGTGTCAAAATTCTAGGCGCAATGTCCCGTGACCTAGTTGGCGGCAAAGTATAGTGAACCGTCCAAAGCGACAGCAGAATGAGTTTCCGATTTATTAGCATTTTCAAGGTTTTTTGTTCTTTCTTTGCTGCCACACTTGGCAGTGGCGAGCACTGCCGGTCGGCATAAAATGGTCAGCATAAAATAGTCGGAACACGCAAAGTTTTACACCACAACGTAGAGTTTTCATGAGGTGGTATGTTTTCGTAAAGGCACAACCCAGACGAAATTTTCATGAACGATTCCCTTTGGTCTGTAAGAGGGACCCTAGAAGGTAATCACAAATGTGGCGTACCCGTGCACGGTAATCGATCGAGCATTTGAGGCCGATGTCATAGTTTGCGAATCGAGCGATTCGCTAGCGAATCGCTGGATCCGAGCGTTGCGCCAGCGAATCGAACGTTGCACCAGCGAATCGAACTTTGCGCCAGCGAGTCGAACGATGTACCAGCGAGTCGAACTAGGTACCAGCGACTCAATAGTGGCGGGACCCAACTTTCAAAGGAAGCCCGCCACTTTCAAACAGTGTCACGTGACAGTGGACTGTTTGAAAGTGGCGGGCTTTCCTTTAAACGTTGGGTCCCGCCACTATTGAGTCGCTGGTACCTAGTTCGACTCGCTGGTACATCGTTCGACTCGCTGGCGCAAAGTTCGATTCGCTGGTGCAACGTTCGATTCGCTGGCGCAACGCTCGGATCGAGCGATTCGCTAGCGAATCGCTCGATTCGCAAACTATGACATCGGCCTTAGAGCGCTTAGGCGCTTCAAAGGACGCTGCTGCAGTGTGACAATTTTCTTTTCTTTATGAAGGCGGGTTGTCTGGCAGCCTCACATCCGTGTACGCTTCTCTCGCTCAACTTTCCTCTCCGCGCTAGTTTGCTGCATTGCTCTCAGCACGCTTAAAGGGGTAACGTTGAGCCCTTTTTCCTTACTGTCGCCACTTGCAATCCATTACTCGTGTGCTAAGAACACTATTGGTATCGCTGGTAATGCCTTCAACACTGTGTCTAAATATACTCAATGCCATGCTCGGTAAAGTAGAAATAGTACAGTTTTTATACATTCCCAGAAACTTTTGTAATTTTTTGAGGACTCTGCGACCAATGAAACTTACGACTGGTGAAGTGTGACTTCACAACATAGCTTCAAAATTTCGCCGTCAAATCTCATCAGCTGTGAAGCGTTATGGGAGTTTAACTTCGATGGCTCACGGCTAAAAAGGGTTCTTGCCAGCAACACCCCAGTGCCAGCTCACACAATGCCTGCACTTATGGGGTCACCTTCGAGTGCTTCTTGCACAGCTCCTGCAGTAAATTTGCTCTCAAGCCACAACTACACCAGCAACACTTCCGTGCTCTCAATAAGATTTGGTCTATAAGCATGCACAACATCTTGAAAATATATGGAGATAAAACCATGTCTACTGTTTGGCATATTTTCCTGTTATTTGAGAATACTATTAACTTATCGTTTTTTTCAGTATGGTAAGCTGGAAGATGGAATGCGACGGTGACATAACTGGAGAAGATAGCGACGTGATTGCGGAGAAATCGAATGTGAAAACTATGAATGTACAAACGACTGCTGTTGTAGTGGATGACATAAAGAAAAGGCAAGCGACATTCCTGGGAACTGATTACTATTTGGTAGTTAAAAGGGTGGGGGGGGGGGTGGGAGAAACTAGCGGTGCAGCCTTAGTTTGCGACCTCTAAGGGGGAATTAGGGCGAAACGAGGAATCTGTGAGCCAGAGGAAATGCTGTCAATTGTGAGAACCGGAGAGGTAGGCAATCCATTTGAAATGCGTAAAAGTTGACTGCGCGGGTTAGACCACCTCAACAAAGTGCACAGTGAGCAGCGCGCCGCGCTGCCGTCTACCCCTTCCCGTAGCTCTTCGTTTGAAGGCAGAATTTACGATGAAAAGTTAGCTCATTGGAAATAAGGGTAGAGGTGGTCAGTGGAGCAGGGATGAAGAAGAAACCATTTGAAACGGCCCGAAACCCGAGAAATGGGACCCCTTCCTTGCCCGTTGATTTGCGCATTGATGCGACTCTCATCGCTGTGCCCTCTTCAACACTACGCTCTCTCTGCTATCTAATCACTCGCCACGTATAGACCTGCGGCGAGTGATTAGATAGTCGGTGGGCGTACCCCGCCAACCGCGCCAAGAGTGAGCCATGCTAGATCGCCGAGGTCAAATCTTTCGCTGCCAATTGCGCGTCGGTCAGCACCCTCAGGAGGTCCGCCTGTCTCCCAACTATGCAATTTTCCCCTTCTTTGACCTTCGTTCTTATCGTGAATTCCCCCTTCAAAATAGCGCCTTCTCTTCACAACGATAAGGTGGGCAGGAATGCAATGAGATTCTGAACATTCTGTGAAAAATCAAGAGGCATTCCAGAATTGTTTGCCTAAACTTCCAACGTAATGATTTCCAGATACGGCGATTTCGATGCGGTGAAGGGCGTGACGTTTCACGTGAAGACGGGCCAATGTTTTGGTTTGTTGGGTGTGAATGGTGCAGGAAAAACGAGCACCTTCCAGATGCTTACCGGTGAGAATGAAATCACTGAAGGAGATGCGTTTGTGAACGGATGGAGCGTAAAAACCGATTGGAAAAAGGTACTGATCTTCCTTAGTCAACTTTCTTCCCTTCATGCCTCTGCACTTTTGCATTCGATACCGTAAAAGGAGGCACTCGAAGGACATTCTTTTTATCGAGGTTTTTATTGAAAAGAGCCGAAACGAATTGGTACAATCCAATTCGTCTCGGCTCTACTTATCAAACCTAAGATCAAAAAGAAAACAATAAAGCCCATATTCCTTCGCTTTCTTTACGTCGACCATTGATAAAAGTTTCACTGCGCCTGACGGACCCCGCCCACTTCAGGAATATCGCCTTCAGAAACCCTTCAAGAAAAAGGGAGCGAAAAGTTGATCGATTTTATTTTCAGGCTGGTGCAAATATCGGCTATTGCCCGCAATTCGATGCTGTGCTCAAGGAAATGACTGGAGAAGAGACGTTGTACATGTTTGCCCGAATTCGTGGGATTCCGAAGAAGGACATCCCGGAAAAGGTTTGGTTCGACTAATATCCTACTCCTTAATATCAGTAGGCCTGACCTTCTCAATCACTTCATGGTATATTTATTGCCGTTACTTAGGGCGTAGCTCGTGCAGGCATCCATTCGGCAGAAAAGCCTTACGCTTTGTTTTCTCAAGAACCAAGCTCCTCTAGACTGTAGACATTTTTCCCTCCTTGAACACCAATTTTGCTGTACCATATGTCTCTGATACATGCTCAGGCTTAATCGCATGCAAAGAACAGACGACCCTCCACTCAAAACCATTCATTTTTTAGAGAACTGTGGCACCAATTGTTGACCTTCAAGGACTGATGGTAAAAAGAAAACATTTCTCACTAAAACTAAAAGAGAGTCTGCAGCGAGTGCACTGGAAAATTCCAGATAAAGCTCCGTAAGACCAGAGGAGCTAGACCCCTATTTTCCCTTCGCTTCCCGCTTTTGTAGGTGCTGTTGATGATAGCCGGTATCATGCCACGAAACACCTCCTTTCATCGATAACGCATAATCTAAAGGAGCTGAAAATGCAGCCAGAAAATGTCCTTCTAAAATGAAGAGCAAAATGTGACGGAGCAGTAGGGCAGGACTACTGCAGGCGGCGCTGACCAGGATTGGGACAAGCCCCGTGGCGATGAGCGTGCCCTTCGCGGCGGCGCATGTTCTCTATTGGCCGATGTCAGACTTTGCGATTGGAGCGATTTTGCACCAATTGCAGGAGCGACGGATCGCTTGAGCGATGCGAGCGACGGGAGATTTACCCTGATGGCGCCGAATTATCGTGGTCGGCGGTGTAAATCTCCCGTCGCTCGCATCGCTCAAGCGATCCGTCGCTCCTGCAATTGGTGCAAAATCGCTCCAATCGCAAAGTCTGACATCGGCCAATGCAGTGATGGCTGAATGACGACTGCGCATAATTCCACTTGTTT